ATAGACATTTGTATAAAGAAATTCATTTTTTCATTTTAATCAATAATTTCAGTACATATAATGTTGAATAAAATTCATTTTAATCCTTTCTGTTTTCTACTTCAACTTGTAAACAATATATTATTTATCGCCTACACAAAATGTTTAATACTAGTTTCAACCAGTACATTAATTCATTCAATAGTTAAAGTGATCGTTCTGTTTTCATGTGTTAATGGAGATGTTATTTGTTTTTTCCTAAAGCAAAACTTTAAAATGCCTATGAGTAGTGAAATAGATTCGTCTTATGTACCACAACCGATAACAAAACGTCAAATTATTTCTAATGAACGATATAGGATACTGAATTCATCTCCATCTACCAAATCGTCAGCAAGAAGTAACCAAACAATACCGAGTGTAAGTATAATACAAATAATCATATGATTTATATATTTTAATTATTTATACCAAATTAATCTTATTTAGGGTAAATCAGGTAAACGGGTATCACTATCAGTAATACAATTCAATAACAGGCAAATTCCTGAAGTACCAAGTCACGAAAAGTAGATAACTTGTTTAGGATATTTCTATGCATATATTTCTAATTAATATAATATTATGCATTTTAGAGGGATAACAAGAAAATGTTTACTCATTACACTAGGTATATTATCTGTTTGTGTGATTGCTGCCATTGTGATTCCAATTGCTATTATTTTCAGTCGTTCAACAGGTATGAAATTATTTTATTTTCAAATAATTTACTAATTCTCATTATCATTTACTATTCAGCTACAACAAGTACGACAACAGTAACAACAGTTGTTACATCTGCTTATTGGTCATTTGATAATACAACCAACGATTTATACGGTGTTTATAATGGAGTGTTAGTCAATGGTGCCACATATTATACATCACCTGGTAATAATTATCAGGCAACACCGTTCACCGGCAACGGGCAATCATTAGCTCTGGCATCATCTCTTAATCAATCTGTTCTTATATCAAGTCCGTTTTTTAACTTATCATACACGAGTTTTACACTGGAGGCTTGGATATATGCGACAACATTGAGTGGTGATAATGATATATTTGGTCAATGTCAGAATATTTTAAGTACAAATGGATGTTTATATTTAATTATAAGAAGTGCTCGATTATATATGGGATTTAGTCCCAATTATTTAACGGGTTCAACCATTTTAACGATTAATACATGGTATCATGTTGCCTACGTTTATAATTATCAAACTTTACAGCAAATTTTGTATGTAAACGGCGTTCAAGATGCAATACAATCAAGTGTTCAACCGTACACTGGACAAAACGGATCGATAACCATAGGAACATCGTCTATACTCCCTGGATCCAATTATTTTGTAGGTTATATTGATAATGTTGCTCTAACAACGCGTGCAAAATCAGCTACTGAATTACTTAGTGATGCTACAATGATCTTTTACTTTTCTTTCGATAATCCTAATCCATCGTATGATAATGGACCTAATTTTTTAAACGGTACAGTAGCGAATGTTGCCACGGTTAGTGGACGAGTGAATCAAGCTTTAAGATTTACTGGTTCATCATCTTATTTTCAAATGTATGGTTTCTACAACTGGGGCTTTTATACAAAACCATTTAGTATAGCAATGTGGGTAAATCCGATATCGCTTGTTGGTGGCACATTGTTACATTTTTCCGATTTCATTGGTGGAACTGGATCATGTGTAGATATCATTGGCTTGACATCAGGCGGACAGATAATGATTCAGGCCTGGTACTCTAATCTACCAGCTATTGTTGGACCACAATTAACGATCAATACATGGACCCATATTGGTTATACTTTTAGTACAACGAATGGGATCATATTGTATGTCAATGGTGTGATGTATCTTTCAACGCCTTCTACTGGATTCTATACCAGTGGTTACATCATGTATATAACATTGGGCTATAATTTGGGCTGTTGTGGATGTGGAAATTTACCAAATATACCATATCAAGGATCGATCGATGAGGTGCATATCTATCGTAGAGAACTGAGCGCAACTGAAATTGCGACACTTGCTAATCCTTAAATTTTTTTTATAAAAAAGACAGTCGTAGAGAACCGTTCAGTTTTTCTATGTTAATTAAACCTGCAGGCAAACAAAGTAAACAACCCTATTCGAACATTATAAAGCATTAAATTTCAAGTGAATATCTAATGATATGTAAGAAAAAATAAAGGTTGGAAAGAGGCATGAAAAAATTCAAAGGATTTTTCAGTATAGTGTGAGTAAGATATCTGTAAATTTTTTCTTATTTTAATTCTAAAAATGTATGGTGACACAAATGATGGGTAATTTATTCTATTGAACTTAGACAGCCTCCGTTTCTTTATATGTTCAATAATAAGAAAAACATTAGAATACAGAAATAGTTATGATAAAAAGCACGTTTTCATACTTTTATATGTATTTTATGAGCGTTATTAAACGAATAAATCTGAACAAATCGTGACTATTGCTACGATGCCCTAAAAAGGTTCAATTAATAGTGACGAGAATAAAAAGCGAAAAGGTAGAAAAAAATCAATAACATAGAGAACACAATATGGATAAATAGGAGACGACAGAACGCAAGGTTACACCTATTAGGTGAGCTTCATATACATGATTTAAAACAATACACGCGAAGAAAACCAGATGGGAATTTACAGGGTGTTGCAAAACCTTTACGTCCCCTGGTTCGACCTTAAGGTCAAATGATTTCACTAAGTATTTTATACCAGATTGAAGCCCGTAAAAAAGTGCATCGATGAGTGCAATTAGATCAAATACTGCCTATTGCATTATTAAAAGATCTTACACTATATATCAAAATGTCATAGATCCATACCATTCCATACCATTTTTGAAAAGATATAAATTGCTTAAAAGTAAGTTTTATGACAAAATTTTAGAACCTGGTGTGACCTCCTCTGGTAGCTTCGAGAGCATCCAATCTTTTCCTCATGGAACACAGCAAATCAATAAAAATATCTGTGTCATCTGCAAGATCCTTGAGTGTATTCTCGAGATTAGTTTTGAGAACATCATAATTGTATCTTTCTCGACGATCTTAGCTTGTCATCAGTTCTTCAACTTTATCTTTGATAAATGCACCAATGTTTTCTGCCGGATTCATGTCAGGACTGTTGCCAGGCCAAATCGAATTGCCCCAGAAATTCACGCCCTCATCTTCCAGAAGATGCTGTGTTGCATTAGCTTTCATGTAGGGTGCTTTATCGTGAAGAAATATGACTTCGTTTGTGTCAAGAACATTGATTGGGTTATGAAGAAATGGAGTCACATGTTTCTGAAGAATAATCTCACGAAAATAGGAGCCATCCCAAGATTGTCCATCTTCCTTCAGAACCCAAAGAAGTTTCTTTGCAGTGAACATGACAAAAATTTGTACGTGCACATATACACGCATCGTCTCCTTCTCTTCCTTCTCTCTGTTTCTTCCCTTTATTGTTAATCATGAGTACTGAATCTTTTTCAATTAAGAATAAACACATTATCCAGTTCGTGTACGTGTTTTGTAACAGAGTACTTAGAGTAGATAATGCTCTACTCTAAAAGAATACACATTAAAACACTTCAAAGTGATATAAGCTACTAATGCATGAAGAAGTAAGGTATATGTGGAGAAATGGGTATGATCGTTTTTTCATATATTCAACATTATAGGATCTATGACATTTTGATATATAGTGTAAGATCTTTTAATAATGTAATAGGCAATATTTGATCTAATTGCACTCATCGATGCAGTTTTATTACGGGCTTTAATCTGGTATAAAATACTTGAAATCATTTGACCTTAAGGTCCAACCAGGGGAGCGTAAAGGCTTTGCAACACCCTGTATACGTTGCATGGTATCTTAAAAAGCACGTTCATGATGAACAACTGTTTGTTTTTCATAGAAAAATATTATAGTTGAGTTAAAGCTGAGGAACGTAAAAGCTTTTTAAGGCGCACCACATTCAAACCTTCCATACCATTTTATTTTTGGCTTAAGTATACATCATTTTATAGAGCTCGACGAGCTGATCAAGAATATTTACACTTTAGCTTGAAAAAGTTGATTTTTGAAAACATCTTCAAAATACTCAAGGGTCTCAAATTTCGTAAAACCCTTCGATTTCAAAAATATTCAAATTTTTTTCGTTTTCGCTCTTCTAACGTTTTGAAAGTATTTTCTTCAGATTCAGCATTAAAAATTGAGTATGAGAGATGTTTGATCGAGATTGAAGTCAAAGGTCTATCCAGTACGGACGTCTTGGACTTTGTCTGTAAAAAGTTCATAAACAATTTTGCAAACCTATCTAGTTTTTTTATGAAGAGATGAATCTGACTTTTTTATTTCATTAGAACCCACCATTAAACGAGCTTTTATTAAAATTTGTTTCATTACTGAGAAAGTACATTTTTTCCGAATCAGGAGCGAAAAACCTGGATTTTCGCTCGTACTTCTCTTTTTCGTTTTTGGTTACCTTCTTCTATAGCTAGTTAAACAGTTATTTATCCTACACCCCAACAATAATGGAGCTCTTCCTCTGTTTCTCTGAGATATTAGCTCTCTTTTGATGTGTGTTCGACTCGATAAATTTGAAAAATAAATACAGTTTCAATGAATTATCTATTTTCTCCACCAGAACTCACTTATTATGCAACTAAAAATGCTAGAAGGAAAAAGCAGTTCCCGGTACTATCAAAAAATTCGATGGAACTTAGTGAAGCCAAGTGGAACGCAATGGAACCCTGTGGAGCTGCCGGCAGCTTCACAGTTCCGGTGGTACCAGATGGCTCCATACAAGTTCCAATGAGCTCCACTGAGTTCCATTCAGTTCCACTTAGTTTCAACGAGTTCCGGAGGGTGAGAGTTCAGTGGAACTGAATGGAACTGATTGAAGCTCATTGGAGCTGAGTGAAGTTGCTTGGAACTCATGTGAAGCCATCGGGTACCACTGGAGCTATGGAGCTGCTTTTCCTCCCTAGTAAAAATGTCATATTCGAAGTATGGGTGGAGAACTATGTCGAGTGATATATGTTTCGAAAATTTTCGCTGATTTTCATTTTTTGGTAAAAATCGCAATAATTTTTCGACATGAAAATTCGAAAAAACAAAGGTGATCAGAGAGGATAAAAAAAAGTATATCAGTCGACTCGATTTTTGAAGCTGACTCGGACTATGATATGTTTATTGCATAAACAGTGAGTAAAATGTAGATATTCTTGATCAGCTCGTCGGCCGCTATCGAATAATGTATAATTAAGCAAAAATACAATGGCGTAGAAAAGTTTGAATTTGGATTTGTAAAATTACAATTGAAGCATGTCTTTTACTAGAGAATCAGAAAAATTAGTGAAACGACACATTTCCATACAAGTTTTGTAAACTCTATAATTTTTTGAAAAACGTTGTACAAAGCTGGAAAATGTCTCATTCTGTTCAACGCTTTATGGACTACAATCTCCATATATGAGAAAAATTTTTGAACTGTATTAGGAGATTTTAGTGTTCTAGAAACCTGGTTTTTGAGAGAAGTCTTTAAGAAGTATACGAGACGAGTTTTGATTAAGGGTTTGAGACCGGTTTTTTGTAAAGGTAGTGTTGTTCTGCTCTATAACCTCTGAAAGTTTCAATTCTAAATAACGTTCGCGACAGAAAAGACGTGGCTCCCAAGTTTCGATGGTAAATTCAGTTTTCTCGTGAACGGTTCACTAGCTTTTGGTGAAACTTTTAGTGTAGTGACTCATGAGAAAAATGGATTCTTCTGATTATCGACGGAAGTGCTGTCGATAGACCCAAGGAAACATCACCTATGGGAAAAATCCAGAAACATTTCGTCTGAAATCGGACGATACACGAGTAGTTGTCATCTAGATTGCTAGTTGGAAAAGATTCGCTTGCTAGATTTCTGTGGGCGATACCAAATAATTGCAATCGAGTAAAAATCTAGTGATGTAGATAAATCGGGCGATACTAGATTTCTTTTTTTTACGCTTCGGGAGCGACATCTATATTTTGAAGAGGTTATACTCTGACCTTCAGTTAGTCTGTATGAGCCCCGCATACGGTAAAAATTTCAGCAGGATCCGTGATACCAACAACCGCGGTCTGTCGGAAATCATCAAAAAACCGCTGGCTCTTAACGAAAGAAAATTTTTTCAACAAATTATCGAAGATCCAACCCTCCGCTGTTGTGGGAAGTTGATGTTTAGCATACGATATTGTAAAATTTTGTCGTTTATTAAGAATAAGGTATTGTTTTTCTAGTATCGTGAAGAAAAAATGATAAAAAAGTTTCGTATCGACAATCTTCATATCGTTCTTATTGCTTGTTTGTCCACAGCAAGCTTTATCAGTGTCTTTTAGAATATGCTCGTGCTTCAGTTAAGCCAAGTCAAATAATATCTCAACACATCAGTCGAAAGCACAGTAAACGGACTAATAGTTTGGAGAGAGTAGTATTAAGTTAAAATTATTTTGATAAAGTTTTGGAACAAAGTTGTGTCAAGGTTTTAAGCTCGACCACTATTGCCATTTAGAATTACGTAAATACTTTTACAAACCCGTAGATAGCCGTCGTTTACTAGGAATCTCTACCGGTAACGATGATAATAATATCGATAGTATAAGAGCAATAACATGATATTTCGTTTCATTGTTATTTATTATGATTGGTGTTTTTCAATAGACTAGCTTGCTACAACACGTTAAAATAACTGTGGCGCTTTATTCGTTGAGATATGTTTTCAGCGGCTCAGCATGTTTTCAGCGGCTCAACAACAACGTGCTTTTCCCTTCTACTGGACACAAAACATACATTCTAGTTTGAAAGAAAAGTCAAATTTTCCTTCCTTATTGAAGTATTTTGACCAGAGCTGATCACCTGCAGTGTAAGCTGCCTGCAAGCTGCAGGCAGTGCAGGCAGGTTGCAGTTTGCAGGCGAATGAAAAGTTTTTCCACTCACGGCCGGCAGATAAAGAAGAATACTTTCCTGCCTGCGCTTCCTGCAGGGGAGAAGATTTTACCTGCATTCAC